GCAGTTTTAGTATGTTAAATCTCTTTTTAAGAAATAAAAAGATCTTGAAAGGGTCTTGGCAAGATCTTATCAAAATCTTGCCAAAATCTTGGGTTTACACAAGATCTTACCAGATCTTGCAAGATCTGGCAAGATCTGACAAGATCTTACCAAGATGCTCAACCTGGGCGTTAGCTAGAGAGATCATGGCCAGCTTTAAACTTTTTGATTTTGAATTGAGTGTACTGTGGAGCCCTAGGGAATATTCCTATTACTGTAATCTGGTCAACGGTGGTTGTCATGTACCAAGATAACAATTGATGTAAAAGAATCTTGCATGGTAGCAATATTTGCTAATTGTAATGGCAGGGCTTGCTTGTTGTTAACAACTGTTTATGAAGGAAAATTTGAAGAACTTTCATAATATACAATTAAAAGATATAATATACAAATAACTTGTGTAGTGTTCTGAAATCAATATATTTTTGTTTTATCAATGAAAAAGCTGGAGAGAAGATTCCAGGAGTTTATGCTCGACCAATAACAAGAGCACAGAAAGTAGAAAACCTTCAGTTGTGTATGAGCTTTATGGGCAACAGAGGAATCAACTTACAAGGGATTTATGTAGGAGGTAAGTAGTATCAGGAATTACAAATTATCCAATTAAAAAATATTTATTACAATATTTTGACCACCAGTTATAATTTATCAGGGTTTAAACTACAGTGGTACCTCCATTAAGTGTACTTCATTTTACGTTGACACCCTTATTAAGTGGACACTAAAATTTGGCCCTAAAATGTTCTTCCTATACTTACTGTATAACAAACCTCAACAGACACCTCTGTTAAGCTCATTTGCTACATGTAGTTTCTGTTTGTTAACAAGCTTTATTAGACAGACTTACAACTCAACCCAAATGATGACTGTTTACTTGCACACTGTTTAGGTTCACTACAACAATCAATTTTTCTATGAGGTTTCCACTTTAATTTCGCTTCTTCATCAATTCTTCACCCATATTTTGTGAATCAAGCAAACCTCTGTTTCAGTAAGCAGACACCCTCAATTAAGCAGACTCCAGATAAGGTCTGGGTTATTTGCTTGATAGAGGTACTGTGATCTTTAAAAACTCCTAGAATTTGCTATCTATTTTAATTTAAACATCAGTTAAAAAGTGGTTTTTAAAAGAATTAATAGGATAGCCTAGGAAGGGCTGACAATGGTTACTGCTTAAAAAACCTGCACACAGTGATTGTGAATCAAATATCACTGATTGTAAATGCTGTAATAATCCTTGGATAATTTATTTATAACTTTACATAATATACTATAAAAAAAACCCTGGATAAGGAATCTGTTTCTCTCATTCAACTGAAATCTTTTTTTTGCAGATCTTATTGATGGAAATGTAAACTCTGTTTTGTCGTTATGTGGAAACCTAAGGAGAAGATTTGAGGTATTGTGTGTTGTTTCTATGGTAGCAAAGCTTTACAGCAATTTCTTTTCAGAGTTTTCATTAAGGGTTCAAGTTGATTGAGAATACTTCAGTAACTGAACAAAGTTCTATGGCTTAAACTATCATGGTCTTTTCCTATGCTACTTCAAAACTTAATAAGAATCCAGGGAGGACTCTTTTATTAGTATATGACAGGGTTCGTGGTACTCCTTGAAATCCTTGAAAAGCCCTGCAATTGAAAACACATTTTCAAGTGCACTTAAAAGCACTTGAAAATAGCAAAGTTGTTGGATACTCCTGGAATTCTCCTTGAAATTGTAACATATTTCAATTGTAACGTTCTTGTAGCTCCAATAATGCCAAGGCATTGGTATCTCATGATTTTTCCCATTATCTTAGTCAATGTTACTTAGCTTCAAAACTTTTCAGTCATTGTTAAAATAAAGTCATTAACTGAAATAATTTGTCTATAAATTGTTAAGAAAAAAATTGGAACGAAATGGTCCTTGAAAATAGTAATGTTAGTCCTTGAAAAGTCCTTAAAAAGTCCTTGAATATTGTGTTTGAGATGTAGTACGAAACCTGATTTGATCTTCTATTAACATTATTTCAAGACTTAATGAAAACCCTGATTTTTTCAAGAATTCATAAAAAATATGATTCACTGGTAACATTTCTAGGGAAGTCGAGCAGATACTCCAGAACAAACAAGACCAGCATCCTCAAGCTCAGTAAAAGAGAATGAACAACTAAAGTTATACAAGTTTACGAATGGTCATTTGGTAAATGGACTGAAAGGTACATTTTAAAAAAAAGTTTTGCTCCCAAAAATGCTTTGCTTAGCTCTCACTATAGACCTCTTTGTCTTGGGGTAATGTTTTCCCATTTCAGACTATGTGTCATTCCCTTGAGAATAAGATTCTTTGTTTAAGCTGTATACATATTTATGTGTCTTCTCATGTGCAACCGAGCGCAAACCTTAAACAAAGAAATAATACTCTAGGGAATGACATGTGGTCTGAAATGGGAAAACATTACATCAGAGCCGAAGAGGTCTATTGTGATTCAGTATTATTTCTTGTACTAAGTTGTTCCTCTTCTTTAGTAATAGTGTATCTCTTTCTATGTTCTCTAGTTTTTCTCTCTATGCTAAAATCTAAATTTCCTACTGGCTGATCTCAAATAGTGACATATAAATGATGTTACTGCAAAACTGAGGTGTCATGAAGTCTGCGAAAAATAAAAACATGCCTGTCAATTGCAATAAAACCATAAAACGCATTAATTTGTGGGTCACTGTCATCAAACACTTATTAGCAATATTATTATTTTTTCTTTTGGTGGGTCTGGAAATTCAGATTGTCAAGAGTAGAAGTGACACCTCCGTTTTTCGAATTTTCTAAATTCTAATTGCAAGGGTGGATCCAGGGGGAGGGTTGGGGGGTCGTGACCCCCCTGTCATTCCTGAGGTCAAATGGGCTTCCTGTGGTAAAAATGTGACTGGGATTCCTTTGCCCAGAAAATTTACCCCTGAGACCCCCCCTTCAAAAAACCCTTGATCCGCCCTTGAATTGGCTAAGGTTTTTTCTCTCTGATCAGCTGGAAAGTTTTTAAATTAAGAGCAAGAGCCTCAAGTGTGTTATCTACAGAGTATAAAAATCTAGTGATAATAATCTCTATAAAAAAGGATAATTTATCTAGGGGCTAAATATGTAATATTTTATTTTTTTCAGAGTTTGACAGTGAAGTTAAACCTCATGGCCATAGTTCAGGGTATCATTCAGAAGAACATTCTCCTACCCGGAATAGTGTTCCACAAGTTGGTTTAGAGATGCCGGGAATGATGATTGATACAGACACTACATTACGCACAGCAAGAACTGTACATCCTACAGATGTTATCGTGGTAAGATTGACTTGTTTCATCTAGAAATAAATATGTGTAAATCAATACTAAAAGCAACAGAAACACTTATGGCTCCGACAACAATAGCAACAACAACAACAGCAGCAATAGTAACAATGACAGCAACAACGTCAACAACAGCAGCAGCGGCAACAATGACAGCAACAACAACAGCAGCAGCAATGGCAACAATGACAGCAACAACAACAACAGCAGCAATGGCAACAATGACAGCAACAACAACAGCAGCTACGACAACAATGACTGCAGCAGCAACAACAACAGCAATAACAACAGCAACAACGACAGCAACATCAAAAGCAGCAACGACAACAATGACTGCAGCAGCAACAGCAGTGGCAACAACAACAGCAGCAACTTCGATAGCAACGTCAACAGCAGCAACGGGAACAGCGACAGCAACATCAACAGCAGCAGGGGCAACAATGACAACAGCAGCAACGGCAGCAGCAGCAACAACAAAGATAAGAGCAGCAACAACGACAACAGCAGCAGTATCAAACCACATCAACAACAACATCAGAAGTCAAGCAGTGCCTTAACAGCTGCAGAAATATCACGAAAAACACCAACAACGTATGCGGCAATAGCAACATCAACAACAGTAGCAACAGAAGCAGCTTGCATAGGACTAATCCTTTTGCTTCTTCATCTTTAACAGATGTTACTTAATTAACATATTGCCCATTGTGTTGCAGTCGACGACAAAGCTCGATAGAAAGGCGGTGTACCAGAGTGGAGCTGAGCACAGGAAACATATAACATCTCCACCAATCAGACAGGTTTATATCCATGCAGTAATACCTTTATATCTTGGTTCATTGATTGTGCCATTATTTCCGAGTCTTTGGACCTTCCCTTTTGTTAAAACTGGAGTCAAATGCATGTTTTTGGGTGGCACCACAACAATTGTAATCACAATTGTTAATCCTGGGAATCACTTTAGATCCTGGATTGTATTTGGGGGGATGGGGGAATTCAAGATTTTTGTATTGAAACATTCCCTGTTGTTTATTTGAGAAGCATTTTAGATCTTCAAAATGTATTTTTTGGGTAAAATGTACAATTTCTGCATAAAAACGATTCCTGTTATTTAAATGCATGCTTTCTTTTCATGTGCATTTGTTCAAATCATTATGTTATCGGGTTTTTTCCAGGATCAAGAAGATTCAGATCTGATCTCACCTTCTGTTGAGGATAGACTAAGGTCGCTGTTGTGCACTCCAAATCCTGGGGGACAGAGCTTTGAAGAGGTAACTAAACTATACTGTTGTTTGTAGCCATATTACTTGCACGGCAATGCTTTAGGGATTTAAGTTTAATGATTCTATTCTTTAGGATACTGAGGATGAATTCGTAATTCCACCACGACGAACATCTGATAGCAGGGCGGAAGATCGTTTTGATGTGGAAGAAAGACTGAAGTCACTACTGGACGATGCTGCTGAAGGCTTCGATGAAGATGAAGATGATGATGATGATGAAGAACAGAGAAGGATTGAAACAATAAAAGAACTCGATGCTATTGGTTACATGGTTAGTATTAACTATAGCTATGATGATGATGATGATGATGATGAAAATAACGATAAGGCCAAACATAAAAAAAGTGTGTTTTCTGTTGCGCGACCAACCCTAATTTTCTTGCCGATTTTTGCCGACACTAATATTTTTTTTCATTCCCAAATGCACCACAAGGTTCTCATTAAGCTCATTTCCACTATTGTATCAGTTAAAAAGAAAAAAGAAAAAAAGAAAATCCGACCTGCCGACCCCAATTATTTTTCTCATGTAGCAGGAAACTTATTTTTTTGTTTGGCTTAACGATGAAAGTGATGGCTATGGCAATGGATAATTTTGATGGTTGTGGTGATGAAAAATGGTGATGATGTTAATGATAATGGTGATTAACGCAGATGCGAGTTATGGCGATGACAAAGTTGTTGATGTTAATGGTAATGGTGATAAACAATGGTGATGATGATGATGATGAAAATAGTGATGATGTTGGAGGAGAGTGATATTATCATAATGTTTATAATAGTTAAGACGCTTAATGATGGGACAATAGCATTTCTTAGCGCCTTGGATGTTTCAGTACCTCCTGTCAGAACATTCCTTCAGCTCACGTAACGTGTTTTCTTCCAGCCCAGCCACCCGTCAGATAAAATGCGAAACATACCTTCGAAAAACGAAAGAAAAGACAGTTTTACCGGCAGAACCAAACCGTAAGTCAAATTATTGAATATGGGTAATATTAGTAGATCAGATTTGGATGATATGCGCCTATATGCGATATGCACCGTGACGTGTCCTAGTTAACCATTGTATGATCAAAGAGCATGCGTGCTTGAGCGGATGCTGATTTTCTAACGTGGCCTTGCTGTTTTTTTACATCCATATGTGAATTACTTTGAAGTAATAGAAAACGCACACGCGTGCTGTGTGCAGTTATGAAGCACGCGAGGGTTGGCAGAACACAAGAGAAGTGTAAGGAGAAACTTTGACACTTCTCGAGTGTTCTGCTAATCCCCGCGTGCTTCATAACTACACACAGCATACCAAGCACGTTTTTTATTTCTTTTATAAAATGCAAATTACAATGACTGTTATATTAGATAGAATGGCGCAACTGATTGCTCGCGCGCGTGCTGTATGCTTTTATAAAGCACGCGCTATCAACTAATCAGAAAGCTAGATTTATAACAGTTAATTTATAAAAAATTACGCTTAGTGAGTGTACTTAATATGACCCTGTTTCTATCACAGGCGACATACAAAGCTCTCAACTCCACCCGCACTCAGAAGGGTGCAAAATGCACGCCTAAACCAATCATCTCAGGACAGAAATACAGACAGACAACGAAAAATGTCTGTCACAAAAGGACCTGGAATGTCTATGAACAGATCCACCATATTCTCAACAGAAGTACTAAAACCAGCACAACCGAACTATCACTCGCAAAATAGCAGAAGACCCCAAAGTTTCTACTCAGAGAGAGACAATAGAGGTGAAAGAACCCCTCCCCCCAGAGAAAGATCTTCGTCACATTCTGAATTCCTACAACAAGTTGCTAGTAGGCTTGAAAACGAAATGGGTTACCGGGATACGACTACGACCTCATCAGGGTCTATATCACCTGCAGAAACACCTATGTTACCAGAACTATCACCAGGCTCGTCTATAGCATCACTAGTGATAAACAGCTCGTCTGATTCTTCTGGCATGATAACGCCGGTTAGAAACTATTATAACAAACTCAAAGGGGGTCGCAAGTCTCCTCGACACAGTGGCACATCGACCCCAAAGAAAAGGGGAAGAGGAAAGGCAGGATCTAGTCATCTGTCTGGTGAGTGAAATAACCAAACGTTTGATGCGAAGGGAATGTTAAAGTTTGGTTATTAAAACTTTTCGTAGCTTTTATCGCATTTCTCTATGCTGTGCGAACTCAGAAACTGCGAGCTGACAGCCAGTAGTGTAAAATGTGCCGACTGATTATTTGTGATTGACGCAACAAAAAAACAATTTCACAACAAGGCGTTGACATTTCTGAATTCTCAGAATATTAAACCGCAGTAACTGTGCAACTACTTTTGAGTAATAAGGTTTCTTTGTTACCTTTTAGGTCATGGAAAGGCTAGAAGTACTAATGACTTAGAATCAATAAGAACACAGGTAATACATGTGACTTCATGATCATGATCATCATCTATTCAAGTCTCCTCAAGCAATCTTTTCCGTGAAGTACGCTACTGTCAAACTAACAGGATCTTATTTCTGCGGCCCCTTTTAAGGAGGTCAATGAACGTCAGTGACTGGCCCACTCGCGAAGCCTGTTCTTTTTCCTGTCCTGTCTTGTCCTTTCTCCACTCTTCCCATCTTTTGATTTTTTTCAAATATCCAGGCTTTGAACGATTAAAATAAACAGTGCGCCAAAGCGTTGAAGATTGTGAAAACAGTAAACGCGTTCAAGGCTTAGAAAAAAAATCAACCTTGCTTTGCGAGGGTAGCACTATTAATAGCCAGTGGCTTACAAATCTATGACCTTTGTTCCATGATTGAATTGGAATTTAGAAGTTGATTTTTATGGAGGGAATTAAACTGGAGAACGCGGAAAAAAACCCTCAAAGCACAAAGAACAAACTAGAAACTCCACTCACTTACGATGCCGAGTCCGGATAACCGAAGCTGTGTCGCATTGGTGAGAGGCGAGCGCTCTCACCGCAACGCTATACGCTACCCCTGCTTCCCAAAGAGGAAGGCTTTAAATTCCCTTTTGCTGTCCAAGATGGCTACTGTAATGCTGTCGTGCAATATCTCTGATGAGATCTGACAAGTCTAGTGCAAGGCAAAACATAAGAATGTGCATGACTGTATAAATCAAAACAATACGAGACAGAAGAGAGCTTTGATGTCTTGTATGGTTATTTTCTCAGATCCAGTCACTGGAATCCATGTACAACGATGTGCTTTTACTGTTGGATGACGGTATTCATGATTCTAACAAGAAACTCAACGCGAAAGACAAGAGTGCTGGGAATCAGAAAACTGATGATTTGAGAGGTTGGTGGATACCCTATACCATTGTCAGCATAATCATTCCCACTGTCGTCTCTATAATCGTCATTATCATCTTCGTTATCGCGTTTATCTTCATCATCATAATCACCGTCATTTCGGTCATCATCATTTTCATCAACTTCTTACGTCTTTATCATCCTCATAAGAATTATCACCAGCTACTCCATCATGATTATCAACATCATTTTCATCATCATCATCTTTATCATCTTTATCTTAGCCTCGTCGTTATTTCTTAAGATTTATTATGAACAAACTAAGCATTTTTGACACCTTAATCATGGAATACTTGATTTGTTTTCTAGCTGGCATCGTTGCCTTCAGCAAACAACGATCAAAGGACATCAAGTAAGTACTGTACCTTTTATCGCTTGCTCAAATACTCCAATCCTAACCAACCTTTTTTTCCAGGGCTGTTAACAAGAGGTTTGTTCGACTAGAATCCCATGTTGTAACATTAGCTAGGAGCATAGTTCATTTATTTTCTGAGCTGTGATTCCTATACTGTACCTCTTATCGCTTGCTCCAGTACTCCGATCCTAACTAACCCTTTTTTCTCAGGGCTGTTAACAAGAGGTCTGATCGATTAGAATCCCATGTAGACCATTTATTATCTAAGCTGCGATTCCTATACTGTACCTCTTATCGCTTGCTCTTATACTCCAATCCTAACCAACCCTTTTTTCTCAGGGCTGTTAACAAGAGGTTTGGTCGACTAGAATCCCATGTTGTAACATTAGCTAGAAGCGTAGCTCATTTATCATCTGAGCTGCGATCCCAGGCAGCATTAAGTGAAGATCTTGAGATAATGGGTAAAGAAATCAATAGGTTGAAAACCTGGCAGGAAGAAAACCAGACAAAGATAATTGGTGGAGTCGGACAATCTGCACAGTATGCTGTCAATTTGAAGAGAGTCAATAAGTTAAGAAAGTAAGTACTAAATGTATGGGTACTTATGTGAAACGATTTTGAAAAAAGTTAACCAGTCAGTCTGAGAGCAAAAAAACAAGAAAACATTTAAGAAAATTTTAAAAATCTCTAGAGAAGAAAACTTTTGTTTTTTGGCCCCCTGATAGGATATTAGTACAAGGGGTCTATAAATGAATAGGGTGTTGGAAAATGGGAGAGCGAGTTGGAAAATGGGCCTCATTAATTTGGCAATGATTAAATAAATGGATGGGAAAAGAGCAGGACGGAAGGGAATGAATAATGGAACGATGAAAAATAACTCTCTGTCTGTCATTTCTTTCAGGATATTTGGCGAAGAACCCCCTCTACTGGTTATTTTCTTGAAGAAGCTCGGATACGAGGTTAGAATAATGGGTAGTACGTTCATGTTCTAGAAACAATAGAACGACAATAGAAGAAAAGACAAGGCATACAATATTAAACAATATACTGCTATACAATACATGCATTGTATTCGTCTAGAACGTGAACTTATTACGAATATGATAGTCACTTAATGAAGCTATCATGCAGTTGGCTATTAAATTCATCCGCTCAATCACCCTGGCCATCATCATCATCATGATAAATGATAAACAACCATCGTTATGCAAAAGCATGACATCATTATCACACCTTGTTATCACAGTGCCGTAGCACGGCTCGAAAAACTGCAGAGATGAGAGGGGGGGGGGATAAACTCCCTTCGCAGCACAAATATTTTATTCGCTGATTGGCTAATTCATTCATCACACAACACCACCATCATCAACCCGTTATACAGATCAAAGTTAAGGTTTTACTTGTCATCGTTGTTTTCAGAGATTTGCGCCTAATTTTGGAGCAGAACAGATAGGAATTCTAGAGCTGCCATACCTCAGTGAAGAAAGACTACAGAGCCTGGGGATACCTCTTGGGCCTCGTTTAAGAATAATGGAAGAAGCTAATAAATTATTAGCGTAAATTATCAAAAGATCTGAAGGGACTGAAGGAAGTATAAAGAGATAACCAAGAGAAGATATCAGAGAATTATTACTACGGCCAATCTTGCCGCGTGGTGACCATGAAAAAGTCATGGTTTTTGGAAATCAGTCCTTATATTATACAGCTAGAGTGCATTCAGTCAAACTGTTGAATAGTTTACGTCACCTAAATTAGATAAGTAAGTTACTATTTTAGCTGACGTCACATAAATTTGAAATTGCTAGTAAACAGCTACTGAGGTCAGGGGGAGAAACGATGATACAAATGAATGTCTATTCACTCATTCTCTGGTAAAACAACACCCCGAATTAGCATGATCGGTATTTGGCGCTCTTTTACTATTTTAGGTGACTAAATAGTTATCTAAGTTAGATACATTTATCTAACTAATCAACAGTTTGACTGAATGCACTCTATCATAAAAGAGAGTTAAGTAATATATCTAATGTATAATATCATTATTATTTCTACTATAAATAGTAATAAGTAAAGTTAATAATAATAATAAATAATAATAATTATTATTATTATAAGTTAGGCTTTGATACAACTCATAAATCACGTGACCTCATACTATATGGAATCAATCGACTATTTCATCTACATTACTAAAGTATGTAACATTGACCTTCAAATTGGTGCCTCTAAAATATTTGTTTCATCCATAATGGAGGTTTTGCACCATCACGTGCCGGCGCCATGATCCAGCTTGGGCTGCCTGTGGTGAGATGGCAGAACAATAAAATCCCTTTGCTCTCGGGAATTGAATTCATTTTCATGTAAAACGATTGTATTGTTCCTGGCTGTCGTCACGTGATAACGTAAAAGCTCTATAGAAGACACTAAAGACATTTGTCATCCAATATGGAGGATTGTCATCCATCTTATTTTCATTGAAATAGTCACGTGTCTAGTTAGCCTATACCGGGCCCGTATGTGCAAAGGGTTGATAGCGCTATCCAACGGATAAATCCTTATTCAGTGGATAAGTCGATGCTGTTATCCAATAAATTTATCCACTGGATAAGATTTATTCGTCGGATAGCGCCCATCCACCCGTAGAACTGAGCCCTGAATGTAATCGGCGCGATCCGGGGTGGGGGGGAGGGTTTGCACTTTGCGTAGATATAAATATATATATGTATATATATATATATATTTATATATACACTCGATGGCAGAAACGTTGCAGTATACATTTATACATATATCTAATTTATTCAGTATATCTAATGATATGCAAAACAGAAAAATCGCTTCATTTATTGTTTGATTCATTCAATGACTGTTGAAATATTTTTTTCTTGTCTATTAGATCGTACAGATTATAAATCAGTTGTTTTTAAGCGTTGGAAATGGTTATTTTGCATTATGCATCTCATTAGATATTTGTATAAATGTATAAATGTATACTACAACGTTTCTGCAATCGAGTGTATATATATATATATATATATATATATATATATTGATTAATATAAGGATCAATTGATGATAATATCTAAAGAACTACAAATGAAAGAATATGATTTTTCACACAATTTCTAAGTAAAAAAGACTATTTATTTTTGTAACATGTTTTGTATTTCACATTTTTTAAGCTGCCCGTTCTATAAAGAAAATATGTGCTCCAACTCGTAATGAAAAAATCAACTGATTTATCAAATAAAACAAAGATAGTTTACAGTGCGACTACATTAACCAAGGCACGTCTTTGACATTGAATATTACAGGATAAGTAATGTTTAATAAACGAGCAGGAGTGTTTTATCGGGTCTAAAACCACTCGGCTGCGCCTCGTGTTTTATACCCGATAAAACACTCCTGCTCGTTTATTAAACATTACATAGTCCCCTTCACAGTTCCCTGCGCCATCTTGAAAGTTAACCGTTCCTTTGCATCGAAGCGAGACGAACGGTGAGCATGCAATGATAGAGACATGTGAATAATTGTCCAAGGTGTTAAAAAAAGGTCTCTATCATTGCAAGCTCACCGTTCGTCTCGCTTCGATGCAAAGGCACGGTTACCTTTCAAGATGGCGCAGGGAACTGTGAAGGGGACTATTCTGGAATTTACTCTTAACTGTTTCGTGTTCACTTCTGATCATACAGACACGTATAACGCAAAATATATGCTTTTAACGGGGATAATGTGAAAATTAGTGCAGATTCTATTGTTTAAATACGCAATCGTGTTTGGCTAATTTGTATGAAAATTTGACTGGGTGGTCTTAGGCTTACCAAACGCTAATAAAAAGTGTTTGAGTTAGAAAATACTTGCTCAAAGAATCAGTGAGCCTTCTTTAATTTCCGTCTGGGTCAGTCGGGGAAGGAAAGTGTGGTGGGCACTCCGTGCAAGTTTTCATGTAGAAATCTTGTGGCTCGGTGTAGTGACAGTCGTTGGGCTGGCTGCAGCGTGGCGCAGGGCGAGTTGGACATCCCCAGGGTGCAAACTTCTTGGCATCTTGTATGTTCTTGGGTGCTTTCATCCATTGAATAACTTGAGATACCGTTAAGATCCAAACACCATCCTTGCTGCTAGCATAGTGTAAGAACTTCTTCATGGCGTCCATGTGTCCTGTGGCTTGCGAGAACCAGGCGGAGTGAGCGTGCATGCCGAACGGAGCCCTGTTGGTGTCGTAGTGGTAGTCAAAATTCCTTACAAGAATATCGTACCATTGGCTACCATTTGCTGTTGGTGCACAGCCATCCATCATTGAATTACACACCGTTCCGTCAGCATTCATGATATCTATGTTAGGAACAACCCATAGTCCTGGATAGGAATTGACGGGGCACTGTCCTATATTGCAGTCCTGTATAGACTTGTAGTCCAGTGTATATGGGTACATGGGTGGTTTGTAGTACTTGCCAGTCGTCCATGACAGGTCATAAGTGAAGTTGTTTAGGTAAAGCGTTTTGTATAGGTTTTCTGCAACGGCCAGGAAAGGTGCTCGAAATCCTTGGACAGCATCAAGACCAACACCTGCGAACCTAGCAGTAAACAAATCATTAGAACATTAATTGCTTCTTTGGGCTATTCTTGGCTTTCACCCACGTGACACCGGTCTTGACAACGGTTGCTATCCGCCATCTTTGTGCCCCTCGATAGTAAACAAACAGACGCGACAGAGAGATATGTGTGAACTTTTCACTGAACATGGTGCATTGTATCGTAGTTGGTTGCGGTTCAAAGAGCGGTAAGAAAAAAG